TAATTGCAAATGTACAACTACGATGTACTTAGTACAGTCATGATCATACGCTCTCTTGTCACGTGACAGTTCTGTCCGTTTGGTTTTAGCGAATTCAAATACTAAGAAAACAAAAACAAAGAAAACATGTCAAAAACCGGCCTTGGACACCGAACACAACTGCCTCAGGACTGGATAGCAGCTTCAGTCACCACCATCACGACAGAGGTGTCCATGGCTGGCAGGGGACGAATCCGCCGTGCGCCCCGCAAACAAGCAATGCTGGATCTCAGCAGGGAAAAAGACAGCCGGCACCGGATCCACGACATGACCTGGCTGTACGGCTCCTTCCTCTTCTCTGACTGGATTTCCATGTACACGACAGTATATGTAGAGTGCTGCTCAATGAACTTGAACTTCGATCCCGCCAGGCAAGGATGTGCTGGAAGCTGTACAGCCCTAGACCTGCAAACACTGGGATTCACTAGACCTGCAAACACTGGGATGTTCACTAGCCGAGGGTGCAAATCCGACTCTATCAATCGGATTTTTCACCAACAAACAATGCACATTATGCACATGCATGCATACGATTGTATCTTCACCCGTTCAATCGTTGTGATGCAAAAAGAAAAGAAAACAGAAAACAAGTCTTTGTCGCACAAAGTCATGGCTATGCGCTTCCCATGCCGAACAAATCTTCCACTAACCTTGCCATTGTGTGTTGCACGGCAGACAGACATCAGGTCGCACGGGGCCCAGTGAAGAAAATTACCAACTATTGCTGCATTAGTTGGAAGCAGGGAGTACTAAAATACCAAACTTACTACTGCTCCCTGGTTGGAGGTTTGCCGTTCACTGATTGATCTTCAGCGTCAAATGTTGGACTAATTTTGCTCCACCCCCCCCCTGTATCGTGGATCAAATAATATGTATGGAAGGACCAACGAACATGTACATTCACTCTTGTGTGGGGAAAGTCGTGTCACCCCCTTGTTCACTATCCTGGCTACGCCTCCTGGTAACAGTTTTATGATCTGGTTACTTTGGTGTACAGTTAAGTTAGTCATAACTTATAAGAAGAAAATAGGACCAAAGAGCTACACTTTACGCTGTAATGTCCACTAACACCACCAGTTGCTTCACAATCAGCTCATGCGATAACATTGCACTACACTGACCAACGGTACTGACGTTCTACACCTAACTGGCAATCAGCTCTAGCACATCTTGGAGGCGCACTCCTACAGCTTTCCAGCTGGGAAGGTTCTAGGTTATAGACATAAGGAGGGATAGGTGGGAGCAATCAAGACAAGCACGAGATGAAAGTCTCAGCTGGGGAGGATGTTGGCGGATATACCTGTAGGTCGAGGACGATACTGGCAAAATCGTCAATCAAAACGGCCAAACCACAATTCAAGGACGCACAGCAGCATACCACACAACTTTTGTGACTCTAAGATTCAAAGATCGATTAGAGGGGAAGCTATATAAACACGAATTATGAGTAACCAAACGCCTCAGTACTACAGTTCAGTATATCGACCAAGACCTTTAAAATGTAGAAATAGGCAGCAGTAACAAGCAGCATCTTCACACGCCGATCGTTGGTCCTCTCTTGTTTTTATAAATTAATCCTTGGCTCTCCACAGCAGTGTAATAAGTCATAACTTGTAACATTTTCCTTACTTTTCATTAACTTTTATTTGAGTAACGAATGAGGTTCTCGCAATTTGTCACAATTTGGCTATCTGGTCCTGATGTCTATTGGCATGCCACGCAAAGCACCTTTTTCGTTTTGTCATCAAGGACGTGTATTCCTATGCTTCCTGTTTGGCCTGTGAAAATGAGCCTCTTACGTTATGCAACTGTTTCAACACCACTCTCTCTCTCTTCCAAGTCAGCTTGTCGACACGCGGGTAAAGGGAAGAAAGTGACTACATGTAATGCACCAGTAGAAACATTGATATGGGCTGCAGCTTATAGGACATTCTTCACTTGCAAGAGTACCAGGCTAGCTGACGATCATTACCTTATCTCGAGGTACTAATAGCCAGGCTATTGCCTTCGCAATGTTCTGCCTCCATCATTAGCGAATGACTTTATCGACTGTCCGTGGTGGATAAAACATTCTTCACCTGCAAGAGGGCCAGGCTAGATGACGATCATTACCTTCTCTCGATGTACTAGTAGTCAGTCTATTGACTTCAGAATTTCCTGCCTCAACCATAAGGGAATGGCTTTAAAGGCTGTCCGTAGTGGAAAGAATTTAAGATTTCTCAAGAGATCTGTTCTTCTGCAGGTTTCAGTAGATGTTTCGGGAAAATTAGAAACAATTGTCAACACTGGATCGGTTGGGAAAGGATACCAGTCTTCGCGACCACAGGGTTGGCAGATTTATTTATTTCACAGAAGATCATTGTATAGAATACAAATCCAAAACAAAATAATGCACATAAGATTACGGTTCTTCACTATCATAGCGTATCACATTTGTGGCTATGATCAGCCTTGGTTGATTAGTATCAAAGACTGGACTGTTTTCAAACTGCTGCAAATGTTTTCTCTCTTTCTAAGAAACATAAACACACATTCCCTCTCTCACACACACCCATACTCTCTCACACACACCCATACTCTCTCATGCACTCTATCTCTCTCTCTCTCTCTCCCTCTCTCACTCACTTTTCCGTAGAACTCATTAGACACAAAAGAAGAAATGCATTTGTACACACAGTAAAAACTTTTAAACGACATTTTATGCATTTCATTTTACGTTGTGAATACGCTCGAGTTTATGAAAACCTTTGCGCACTCTTCGCACCTTTACGGACGTTTTCCTGTGTGTATACGTTCATGATGACGTAGATGGTGTAACCGGTTGAATGACCTTCCACATGTCTTGCACGAAAAAGGTCTTTCTCCTGAATGGATACGTCCATGTCTTCGTAAACCGGATGATTCTGTGAATGACGCGCCACATGTCTTACACTTGTGCGGTCTCTCTCCGGTATGAGCACGTTTATGAACACATAGAGTGCATGAGTGAGAGAAAGACATCCCGCATACATCACACTTGAATGGTCGATCTCCAGTATGCGTACGTTTATGAGTACATAGATTGCTTGACTGAGTGAAAGACATCCCGCATACATCACACTTGAAAGGTCGATCTCCAGTGTGAATACGTTCATGGTCGCGGAGGTGAGAAACGTTCTTAAGTTCCTTCTTGCAAAACTGGCACCTTTGTGATGTCTTACATTTAGACCGCTTGTACGGATTCTGACTCTGAGCCATAACCTTAGCAAAATCAGATATTTGTTGGACAGGACCTCTGTGTTCAACCGGCTTGGCACACGAATCAGGTTGTTCCCATGCTTCACGTGTTCTTCCAGCAGAAACTCCAGTATTGGACTCTGTGTCTGGAGTTAAGACGTCCATTTAAAACTGAGAAGATGGTTTCATAGGCGAAATACGTTTATCATACGCGCTGAACGCAGAAGTCCGGTTCTCGACGTCTTCCAGTTCTGACGGTGCACTAGACGTAGCTTCATCCCTTTCGCTTTTGCGGTCAGTTCCATGTGTCGTATTGAAAGCTGGTTGACGATTAGAAATACGCGCCGAAAGAATTGTGTTCCACGCCCGTTTTATCAATGGCGGAGGAGAAACAGGAAATATGCTACTGGTATCCTCAGGGGGTGTATTACTCGTGTCTTCTCTGTTTTCCAGTGAAGCGGATCTCATACACGACGCTTTCGCCGTGTTTTCTTCGCCAAAGTTTGACTCAGAAAATGGTGGAACCGACGATTGGCCATGCTGTCTAGAAAGTTGGAGGAGCACATTCCCCTTTAACTTCATCAATGGCGGCATTGGTGGTAGTTCATTAGAATCAATACTGCAGTCAGACTTCAACTGCTCAAAGTCTTCCATTGTTTCATAGACAGAATGGCAACAACTCTGGAAGGGAAATTGAATAACCGAGCCAATATTACTCGTAGCCACTTCACTCAGTGAATTTAAATTACGGATCCAGAATGGTTCGCTCTGTGGGCCGAGCCAATATTACTCTCAGCCACTTCACGCCGTGATTTTAAATTATGGATGCAAAATGGTTCGGTCTGTGTACTTTAATATCGTGTTCTAGTGTGAAAAGCCAAATTAGCTGATAAAAAAGGGTTTGCCATAATTCTGACTGCCAGCAATGCGTGACAATTTTACGTATTTTCTCCACTTCAAGTACATGGCAACTTGCTGTCACAATCTCAAGCTTCCATGGACGTTTACATCAATTGTCGCACAAAAGGATTTTAGTTGCCTGGGGAGCATCTTTTCGTTTTAAGTGAGAAATGATCACTCTTACTGTTCTTTGTCAGTGTCAACACTACACGTTATTCTTCGGCACTGAACTGCCATTCTTAAATAAGTAAAGGATCTATCACTTCCGAAAATTTTACTTTTTCAAGAATGCAAAATGTCTGTTGCTGAGTAGAACATCGCGGAGAAGTGAGCGTTCCTGCACTGGTATGTGTTTGGATGTACCGGTACATTGTATTTCAGCATGGTGGAGTGGAAAAATTCAAATTAGTTTTTTCAAGAAAACGCAAAAAGGGGGATGAGGTCCTCTGTGCTAGAAAAAAATCTCCCAATGAATACTTCTTGCTAAATGAGGACGTGGCTGTCTATTTTGTCTCCCCTTGTAATGATTTGCTTATTTTCAGGACGATCATTTGTTCCGTCAGGGGATGATGGCCCTCATCTCTCTAATATGCTGGCGTGGCTAAGCGGTGCTGCCCGAGGAACTCTTCTATGATCAGGCAATTATGGCTTGATGGAGCTATATTGGTAGCCTGGTTTATCCACTGTGGCAAGTCTCGTTTGCAGACCCATTAATCATGTGATGTTTTGACCATTTTTGAGGGGTTAGCTAATATCAAAATTCCCTTCAAACAACTTTTAAAGGGCTTTGCGCAGTCGATCTACACACCAAATAATCGTGCCTGCAAATTTTGAGCGAAATCGGAGAGATTGAAGTCTACAAGTTGTAGTCTTCTCAGACATGCTCATTCAACAAAGCCTTAGCTTATATCTTCTTTCTATATAAAGTAAAACCTTCTGAGTTCAAAGGCTATACCAGAATAATACTATTAACTTCTGACATAATACATGAGAACAAGACCATGGAAACGAACATAAATACAGAACTACATTATCCACGTCAGCTTGCGATTCCGTACAATCATAGTCTATTACGTGTGTGGCTAGGACCAGACTTGTGTGAATAGCATCAAAGAGTGATTTCTTTTTCTAAATGCTGTGAATGTTTACTATCTTTAAACCAGACACACACACACACTGTTTCTCTCTTGATCTTACAATTCATAAGCGGGAAGAAAAGAAATACATTTTCACCCATACAAAACACTATCTACCGACTTTTAGGCTATTCATTGCAGGTTATAAATACACTGGTGTCTAGGATAACATGATGATGTTCTGAAAAACTTTGTGTACTCTCCGCACCTATACGGACGTTCTCCTGAATGTATACATTCATGGTCATGTAGTTGGGATGACTGTGTGGATGACCTTACACATGTTTTGCACATGAAAAGTCTTTATGCAGAATGGATCCGTTCATGTCTGCGTAAATTACACGACCGAGTGAACGATGTGCCACATGTCTTACACTTGTGCGGTCTCTCTCCAGTATGAGTACGTTGATGAACACGTAGATTGCTTGACGTAGTGAAAGACTTCTCGCATGCATCACACTTGAATGGTCGTTCTCCGGTATGAGTACGTTTATGAACATGTAGAGTGCTTGACCAAGAGAAAGATATGCCGCATACATCACACTTGAATGGTCGATCTCCAGTATGAGTACGTTTATGAGCGCAGAGACTGCTAGAGTGAGTGAAAGACTTCCCGCATGCATCACACTTGAATGGTCGATCTCCAGTATGAACACGTTCATGTTCGCGGAGGTGAGATACTTTTTTGAACTCTTTTGGGCAAAACTGACACCTTTGCGAGGTCTTATACCTAGAACGCTTCTGTGAATCCTGATTCTGAGCCATCGCCTTAGAAGAGTCGGAATTTTGTCCAGCGCACACTCCAGTATTTGACGATTTGGACGGAGTTAAGGGGTCCATTTCAAACTGAGGAGATGATCTCACAGGCGATGCACGTTTCTCGTACCCGCTGACCGCTGAAGTCCAGTTCACCACGTTTTCCATTTCAGAAGGTGTACTAGAAGTTGCTTCATCCCTTTCGCTTTCGTCGGCTGTTCGAAATGTCTGTTCGAAAGCTGGTTGACGGTTAGAAATGCTGCCGGAGAGAATTGTGTTCCTCGTCCATTTTATCAATGGCGGAGGAGAAACAGGAGTTAGGCTACTGGTACACTCAGGGGCTATGTTACTCGTGTCCTCTCTGTTTTGCAGTGAAGCAGATCTCATACACGATGCTTTCTCCATGTTTTCCTCTAAAGGGTTAGGCGCAGGAGATGGTGGAGCACACGATGGATCATGCTCTCTAGAAGTTTGTATGAGCTTCTTCCTCTTCGACTTCATCAATGGTGGCATGGGTGGTAGTTCATTCGAATCCACACTGCAGTCAGACATCGACTCCTCAAAGTCTTCCATTTCTCACAGAACTTCATCAACTCTGGAAGGTAAATTGCATAGCACAGCTAATATTACTCGTAGCAACTTCACGCAACTACCAAAACAACGGATGTAGAATGGTTACAATCTGTGTACTTTAATATCGTATTCTAGTGTGTCAAAAGCCATAATATTATTAGTTGATACCAACGGGTTTGCTATATTTACGGCAGCCTGCAATACGTGCCAAGTATAAACACGTTCTCAACATCAAGTACATGGGAACTTGCTGTTACCATCTCAAGCTGTCATGGAATTGTGCGCCAATTGTGGCACAAACAGAATCTGATGTTAGTTGCCAAAGGAGGATCGTGTCGTTTTTATTGATAAATGATCACTCATACCTAGAGTTGTCACTGTCAACGTTGCACTTCGTTCTTCAGTGCTCAGCTGCTATTCTGACACAAGTAACGGATCCATCACTCACCAAAAATTCGCTGTTTCAGAATGAAGAGTAAGAACTCATACTCCGAGGGTAATGGAGTCTGGTTTTGAAGCCACTGTGAATACATGTAGGTCTCAGTGAGCAGTCACGTCTCGATGACCGATCACGATCCCCGTGACCAATCAAACAGTCACAAATCCCCGAAGAGCAGTCATAAAGTCACAAACCAGTTTGAATCCCGATGACCAGTCAGAAACAGCCGCGACTTTCTCTGTGAACGGTCACAGGATCCACGTCAAAATATTACGACTCAACTGCAGGCATTCACGCGTTCAGCATACTTTTTTCCTTCACAGGTTTCAGAAGTGAGCAAGAAAGATTTCGATCAACTCTCGATCTCCGCGTAGTTTACTTGTAGCTCGAGTCTGGTGTGTGTGGGCTCCTCTCCAAAACGAAGGGTGGTCGAAAATCTTGCAGGCTTCAGATAGAATCTCTTTTGATAGGACGTTCTGGCTAGTAGGTCGTGCTATTCATCATATTTGAAGAACAAACTTCGTCGTTCAGAAAAGCTATTTCGGAATATTTTCAGTCCGACATGTAATTTTTGCATGCCGATCTTGCTAGAGCAGAGACTGACTTCAACTGATCCAGCATGCAATCAGCACTCGATTTGTGTTTTTGGAGAGGATGGGTGACAAGATTACGGAGTCAGAAGTGGACATCGTCGACGATGCAGAGACGAAAATATAATGAAGATGGAAATGAAAATATGTTCATTTCCAAGAAGGTACTGAGTACATCAAGCACCTTCGTGTGTGTAGCTCTGTCTTTCTTGTGGAAGACTCCACAGAAAAACAATGTCCAGCTTGTTGAAACTGAAACTGCCTCTCAGTTGAAGTCGTTTAGGAAGACATCTATTCAAGACATCATTAATCCATTCTCAAGAACCATCGCAAGAAATTAAATCAAGTCATGTTTATCGATAAGAATGGCGAACTAGACCAGAGAAGTGTGAGTGTCTTGTTTTGACTGCAGGAAACCGTATTTCAATATTCTGGCTCAACGTAGTGCTTACGCAGTTTACTGCTTCGAACACATCGTCATTTCTACTCCCAAAATAACTCTGTAAAATTTATTGATGCAACATTAATCATTATGCATCATGGTCTTTCTCGTTGTGCTGCTATAACGTGTATAAGTACATGCATACGAGTACTGTGTACCGTTTACTGTCTCCTTGTCACTGTTTTTGGGCGATCCTCCACACCTTCATTTGTCTTCCAATTATTGATTTTATAGAAATATTTACTCACTTCAACTTCTTTTGATTGCTGGTGCGAATGTAGCCTGCGATGCCTGCTTGTTAGTGAGAGTGCACCAGACATGTATCGATATGTTTGTCTGACGAGATGTTCTTGAACTGGCATGCTGCTTTGCTTAGATAAGGTTTAGAATTGGGTGCTCAATGGCCTGGAGGAATTAATCATGTTTGCGATCAGTATCACCAAGAGTACGGTTCTTCCGTCTACGCATCTCTTCTTGGCTTGTGGATTGGTTGAAAAGAGATAAAATAATAATACAGAAGTACTTGTGTCCAAGTGTCGTCATGAAAACAAGTTCTACCTCCGTAACTTTGTCCGCAAGGTCACGTGAATCTAGCTGGTAGTCCCGCTGCCTATTTGTGTGTGTGTGTGTGTGTGTGTGTGTGTGTGTGTGCGTGTGTGTGTGTGTGTGTGTGTGAGTAAGTGTGCGTGCGCATGTGTGTGTGTGCATGCGTGAGAAAGAGAGTGTGTGTGTGTGAGAGAGAGAGAGAGAGAATGTGTGTGTGTGTGTGTGTGTGTGATTTAGAGAATGTGTGTGTGTTTGTTTGTGTGTGTGTGGATGTGTGTGTGTGTGTGGATGTGTGTGTGTGTGTGTGGGTGTGTGTATGTGTGTGTATGTGTGTGTGTGTGTGTGGATGTGTGTGTGTGTCTCAAACTCTCTCTTCTACTCTCCCGCTGTCTTGGGGGCGGCGTGGCCAAGCATTTGGCAGCTGTACACCAGGCCAGGTGTGTGTGTGTGTGTGTGTGTGTGTGTGTGTGCGGATGTGTGTGTGTGTCTCAAACTCTCTCTTCTACTCTCCCCCTGTCTCGGGGGCGGCGTGGCTAAGCATTTGGCAGCTGTACGCCAGGCCAGGTGTGTGTGTGTGTGTGTGTGTGTGTGTGTGTGTGTGTGTGTGTGTGTGTGTGTGATGTAGAGAGTGAATGACATAATTATGTGCGTGTGTGTGAGAGAGAGAGAGATTTAGAGAATGTGTGTGTGTGTGTGTGCGCGCGCGTGTGAGTGTATGTGAGAAAAGGAAGAGAGTGTGGGTGTATGTGTGTGTAATGGTGTGGGCATGTGTGGTCCCCAGCTCTATTCTATGTCATTCACGCTGGAACTGCTGCTGCATAGCCCCAAGTCTGAAGACTTGGCAACATCACGCCTGCACCTGACTCTTGCACTATAATACCTGTCGCCTATGATACCCCTCAGAATTTCCCACCTTGCTCCCCCTTATGTTCAGGCTGCCCGTTTAGGAGCCATCAGTTGCCTGACGATCGTAGTAATACGTGAAACTCAGAGTTGTGACAAAGCCTCCAATCACTCTTGTAATACAGAAATACCTATATTCTGCCTGTGACTACTCACAGAGAAAGAGTGCTCACAGCTGTACATGCCGCATGGAATTATAGTGGTCACAACTGTATTCTGTGACAGCTCATAGGGAATTATAGTTTCCACAACAAATCCTGCAGTACGAAGCACCCTGCGAGCAGTCACGAACTGTGTACTTTACACATGTACATGGATGGTGATTTGTGACTGGTCATGGGGCATTGTGACTGGTAAACTAATTTGTGACTGGTTATGGGGGGTTTGTGACTGTTTGACTGATCACGGGGACCGTGATTGGTCACGGAGCCTTGACTGGTCACTGAGTCCTACATACATCCCGCTGTTGTATGCATCATCGACATCGACATCATCATCATCATTACCTGCTCTCGAGCTGGTTAGGGTAGGACGTTCACTTCAGAATGTGTTGCATCAATCATTGGCGAATGACTTTGCAGGCTGTCAGTGGTGAAAAGGATTTCAAAGTTTTCCAAAGGTGCCGTTCTTCTGCAGGCTGTTAGTAGTGTTAGGTACCTCTGCACATGCTACGTCATTCTCACCTACGTCATTCTCACCTTTCGTTCCGTTGGCCTGCGTAGCTACTTAACTTGCGCACCCATGTTTGCCATAGCTACCCAGGCCCTATATATTGCGTCAACTCTCTTCAGATCTCTTAGTCAACTCTCTTCGAATCATTCTCTCTTTCACAATGTAGTCGTTTAGTTCCTCTTTCTCTCTGTCTCTCCGTCTATGGTAAATGTCTTCCCACTACTAGTACCTGTCTCCAGTTGTTCCTTTGTGTCTAGGATGTTGAGTCCTTGTGTGACTCAACATTGGCGCTCGTCTTTTCGCTCGGACCCACGACCCTGCTCCAGAACTCGTCGTCAACCTCGTCTCGTCCATGTCAACCTCGTCTCTCCTACGCCAACCTCGTATCGTCGTCAGTCTCGTCTCTTCTACGCCAACCTCGTCTCGTCTCTATCAACCTCATCTCTCCTACGCCAACCTCGCCTCGTCTATGTCAACCTCGTCTCGTTCAAGCTATGCAGGTCAGCTACCTTTCTCTCTTTCTTTTTTTGTATGCGTTCCTTCATCGTCAAATTTATTTTCGTGGTTTTGTTTGTAGTGTGTGTGCGCGCGTGTGTTCATAAAACATTACAAAGTTAGGGGTCCGATCATGGTGAGCCACGCTCTAATTTTTGAATGTTTAGCAAAAGTGTAACTAGGCTGTATTAGCTGTGCAAAATACTAGTAATTCACGTTCCTCGTCAAACTCCAATAGTTATTACACACTATAAGTAGTACAGGAACGTTGTAATGATCTGTAGTGCATTTTTAGTACACAATTTGTGAGATCCGTGCGCGTGCAATATGTGTGTGTGTGTGTGTGTGTGTTTTCTCCTTCAGTCGTTTAAAAAAAATCTTTTTCTCTTTTTTTTCTCTCCGCGAGGACGCGGGATTATTTTTCATGGAGGTGGCGGATGTTAGGTACCTCCGCCGGTGTACGTCATTCTCACTTACGTCAATCTCACCTTTCTTTCCGTTGGCCTGGGTAGCTACTTGCGCACCCATGCTTGCCATAGCTACCCATGCCCTATATATTGCGTCAACTCTCTTCAGATCTCTCTCTCAACTCTCTTCGAATCTCTCTCTCTTTCACAATGAAGTCGTTTAGTTCCCCTTCTCTCCGTCTCTCTGTCTATGATAAATGTCTTCCCACTACTAGTACATGTCCCCAGTTGTTCCTTTGAACAGTCGATCTACACCCCAAGTTAACGTGCCTGCGAAATTTGAGCGAAATCAGGGATATCAACTTACACACACTGTCGGGTCTTCCATGCTCTCTTAAAAATCAACAAAACTTGCGAACGTATCTGCAATCTGAATGAAATAAAACGTTCTCAGATTAAAGATTACCCTAGAAAATTATTATTAACTTCTGACATAATACATGAGAACAAGATCATGGAATACTGGGAATGGAAGAGAAATACAGAAGTACATAATCCACATCAGCTTGCGAATCTGCACTGTCATAGTCTATTGCGTGTGTGGCTACAATCAGACTTGTGTGAATAGCATCAAAGACTGGGCTGTTTTCAAACTGCTGCGAATAATTATGACATTGTGCTATATTTCTACCACACACACACACACACTCTCTCATTCTCTGTTCGTAAAATTCATGAGCACGAAGAGGAGAAATGTATTTTCATACCATACTAAAAGACTTTCTAACGACTTTTAGGCTCTTCATTTCATGTGAAGATCACACTTGTGTCTGCGTAGACTTGATGATGTTCTGAAGAACTTTGCGCCCTCTTCGCATCTATACGGACGTTCTCCTCATGTATACTGTCATAGTCGGGATGACTGTGTGAATGACTATACAGTTGTCTTGCCCGTAAAAGGTCTTTAGTTGGAATGGATACGTTCATGTATGCGTAAATGGGTCGATCGTAAGAACGATGTGCAACATGTCTTACACTTGTGCGGTCTCTCTCCAGTATGAGTACGTTGATGAGGATATAGATTGCCTGAGTGAGAAAAGGACTTTCCGCATACATCACACTTGAACGGTCGATCTCCAGTGTGAACACGTTCATGCTGCCGGAGGTGAGAAACGTACTTGAACTCCTTTTGGCAAAACTGACACCTCTGTGATGTCTTACACTTAGAATGCTTAAACAGATCCTGATTCTGAGCCACTAACTTAGAAGATTCAGAATGTTGTCCGATAGCACGCATTCGTTTAACTGGCATGCCAAACGCATCAGGTTGTTCCCATGGTTCAGGTGTCCTTCCAGGAAAAACTCCAGTATTTGACGCCGCGGCTGGTGTTAAAACTTCCATTTCAATTTGAAGAAACGGTCTCAACGACGATGCCCGTTTCTCATACCCGCTGAACGTTGAAGTCCAGTTCACCACGTCTTCCTTTTCAGATAATGTACTTGCCGTTTCTTCATTCCGTTCGCTTTTGGTGGCGGTTGGAAATGTCTTTTCGACAGCTGGCTGATGGTTAGAAATACTGGCTGAAGGAATTGTTTTCCTCGTCCATTTTGTCAACGGCGGAGGAGAAACAGGACTTGTGCTACTGGTATACTCAGGGGTTACACTACTCTTGTCTTCTCTGTTTTCCAGTGAAGCGGATCTCATACACGACGCTTTCTCCATGTTTTCTTCTAAAAGGTTTGACGCAGGAGATGGTGGAACGGACGATGGACCATGCTCTCTAGAAATTTGGTTGAGCATATTCCTCTTCAACTTCATCAATGGCGGCATTGGTGGTAGTTCATTAAATGCCACACTGCCGTCAGACATCGACTTCTCCAAGTCTTCCATTTCTCACTGAACTGCAACGACTCTGGAAGGAAAATTGTATACCGAGCCAAAATTACTCGTAGCCATTTCACGCAGTGAATTTAAACTAACGAATGCGGAATGGTTCGCTCTGTGCACTTTAATATCGTGCTCTAGTGTGAAAAGCAATATTTGTTGATAAAAATAAAAGATGTGTTTGCCACAATTTTGTCAGCCCGCAATGCGTGACAATTGTATGTATGCTCTCTAAATCAAGTACATGGCAACTTGCTGTCACCATCTCAAGATGTTATGGACGTTTGCCAAGGGAGAATCTTGTCGTTTTAAGTGATAAATGATCACTCCTGCTGTGTTTTATTAGTGTCAACACTACACGTTGTTGTTCAGTACTGAACTCCCATCCTGACACAAGTAAAGGACGAATCACTCATCAAAAATTTACTTTTTCAGAATGCAAAAGGTCTATTGTAGGCTAGACGTCCCGGGGGGGGGGGGGGGGGGGTGTGATCTTTCCTGCACAGGTATGAGTTTGGTTGTACATGTACATGTACATTATATTTCAGCATGGTGAAGTGGAAATATTTTAAATTATTTTTTAAAGGAAAAGCAAAAAGGAGGATGGGTGGCATGTCCTCAGTGCTAGAAGTTGTGTTCTTCTATCTGGCAATGAAAAGTTCTCGGTAAATGAGGACGTGCATGTAGCTGTCTGTTTTGTCCGCCCTTGTAATTTGGTTATTTTCAAGGATAATCATTATGTTGTTTCGTCAGGGGGTGATGGCCCTCATCTCTCTGGGATGCTGGAGTGGCTAAGCGGTACTGGCGTGGCGAGAATGCCACGGAGTTCAGTTTACACGTTCATGTCATGTTCAGTTGCGATCTGCTTTCTCTTCCTGATTGCCATTGCGGTCATGCTGTCTGTTCTCTGTGATTTGACCTTTATCTCCTGGCATCTTACTGTCTTCATGTGCTCCCCTTGGGGGCACCTTGATGCCTGATGTAATATCGAATTTGTACAGCGGGCTACCATTTAGGTTCCGCTGCGGTCGGTTTCGCTGAGCCAGCCTTGGCACCGTGTAGCCTTTTGGTTGTTGTGTTCTTGTGCGTGCGGCATGAGGTTTTTAGCTGTACCTTTGTTTGGCTGCGCTGCCTTTTGGTTTCCAGAGAGTTTTTCTTTGCACTTGTAGTTTTTAGAACGAAATAGTCGGTTCGTGACATGGCGTTCTACTTCTAATCAACCATAAAGTCTTTCGTGTTGTGAGTGACTCCGTCGAGTGTGAGCTTGGTATACGGCCCATTACGGGACTGCGTGCGGCAGAAGCCTAGCGAAACACCATTTGGTAGCAGAGGATGGTTTGATAGTTGATACACGTTTCGATCGAAGAAATTTAGTTACGAGGTTGGATTTCAAAAATAGTTCCAACCATGGAGGAAGAACGAGAGAAAAGTAGTGCATGCGGAGAATATAGTGCTGAGACTGAGACAGCGACGGCGGCATCGATGTCAGAGCCGACCGGAGAGGATGGCGCTGGTTCTGGTGAACCTACGGAAGGCATGGAGAGCCTGATCATGAAGCTGAAAAGTGATAAGATACAACTGAAACGCAATCTAACGAATACCCGACGTGGGTTGACGATAGGAATGCGCGACAATGAGGTCGACGCTGTGGGTGCAGGACACCTTTACGATGAGCTGCGCTGCTGTGAGCAAGCAGTAACAGCAGTGCTTTCCGAGCTGAAAAGAAAATATGAATTCGTAAACGATAAAGGGAACGTGATACGGACTTTGGAGGAAATGGAGGAAGTCGATCGCGATGTGCAGACGGCAATTGATAGATACGACGAGTTTGTAGAGTTGTGGACTGCAAGAGCGAAGCAGTATGGACAGGCTCAAGCAGCACAGAGCCAGTTTGAACGAGGGGAGTCGTTTCCTTTACTGGATGTGGATGAATTCGGACTACGCCAAGGCAGTAGATCAGCTAGTTGAGTCGGTTTACGACAAATGCAGAGTGAACTGAGTGCGCTGACAATGGAAACAGACCGCAGGACTGGACTGCTACTAGAAAGATCACCGTCACGGAGGACGCCAAGAGGCTTTAGTACTGATGACAGCAAGGACACAGCAGCTGAAGAGACCAACACCAGTCCAAAACCGGGTGAGCAAGGAGCTTATCAAACGGAGAATAGCCTTCCCCCTGCACACACCACTGAGTCTGTCACCAGCCTCCCCAGTTCAAGTCACAGTGTACAGTCTAGTATCACGTCTTGTACTACCACTGCACAGCATGTACCTGTCACAAGCTCAAGCATGACTAGACCCATACCTAGTTCTGGACAAGCTGTACCTGTGAAGGACCATGTTTCTCTGGTCAAATCTAGTACCAGTCAGCCATCTAGCCTTGCTAGCATTCATGCCAGACTTGCAGGCCCAAGCAGTGGTCATGTAGGCAAGTCTGTGTTGAGTGTTGGATCTTTTCCAGGACATCCTGGAGCTAGCCTCAACTTTCAGGCCCCTGCGTTCCGGCCTGCAGCTCAACCAGTAAGCAGCAGAGCACCTGTGTACGGCACTGGGTTGCCCAGCAGTGATGTCTTTGGAAGGCTGAAGAAAGTAGCTGTTCCGACCTTCAGCGGAGATGTGCGGATGTACGAGACCTGGAAGGCCGCCTTTATGGCATGCATTGACGCTGCACCCGTCTCTCCACAACTTAAGCTTCTACAGCTTCGGCAGTATGTTACTGGTGAGGCACTCAGAGCAATAGAGCAGCTTGGCTACACCGCAGAGGCATACAGGATATCCCTGGAGCGGCTTGAAAGAAAATTCGGCGGACAACGACGTCAGGTGGCTATACAGCTGGAAACATTGGAAGCATTCCAGCCGATACAGCGCTACAACCCGCAAGCACTGGAGAAGTTTGCAGATTTGCTCGAGATTGCCGTAGTGAACCTCAAAGATGCAGGTCGCCACATGGAGCTACAGAACGGCACATTCTTCTCCCGTCTCCTGAGCAAGCTGACGAAGCAGATGGTGGCTCAGTACCAACGTTGGTTGTACGAGCACCAGCAAACCGAGGATGTGTTATCATTGTTGAAATGGGTGACACTGGAGGCTGAATTCCAGACTACGGCAACGGAGATAGTAGACGGTATCCAGAAGTCGGCATCATCCCGGCCAAGTAGCCATCGCTCGTTGCAGCAGCGCAACGCTCATACACACTTGGCAGACGGACAGACGGCACGAGACGAGGAGACTTCTTTCATATCCTCTCGCGCCACTTGTCCAGAATGCAGCGGGAGCCATGGCATTTGGGAATGCTCCACCTTCAAAGGACACGACACAGGCCAACGGTGGACAAGAGCAAAGGAATTAAGCCTGTGCTATCGCTGCCTGGGAACAGGGCACAGAGGCGACAAGTGTCCTCGAACTCGCACTTGTGGTGTCGATGGTTGCCAACGGAATCATCATCGTCTACTACACGGCTTGGCACGATCAGATTTTGAGATCAGGAAGAAGCCGAGAGCCGATGGCAAGGAAAGGAGTTATGACAAAGCAAACACCAAGGCTGAACAAGGACACTGTGGCGTCGCAACAGCGCATGAGACTCCAACGGAAGGGGAGTCCCGCCAGCAATGCAGCAATGCAACAGCCGAGACGAGCTACACCAGTTTACGCACTGTGCCTGTCGTTCTCAGGTCCGGTAGTAAGCGGCTCGTCGTCAATGCGCTTCTGGACGACGGAAGTACCAACATCTTCATCCACGAAGACGTTGCCACAGCGCTAGGTATGAGTGGTGAGCAGCATGACATGACTATCAATATGCTGAATGGAAAGGGGAGCACTTTCAAATCCATGGAAGTGGAGTTCGATATCGCCAATATTAACGGTCAATCACGGACAACCGTAGTCGGACTCACAACTCCCAACCAGGTAACAGGACGTCTGCAGCTAACGGACTGGAGTAGCAAGAAGATTGGCTATGAGCACTTGGCTGATATACCGTTTCCGGAACCGGCCACCCCTGAAAGGATCGAGCTGCTCATTGGCGTCGACAATGCCGAGCTTCATCGTGCGTTGTATGAAGTGTCTGGACCAGCCGGAGAGCCCATCGCGCGTCTCACACCTCTCGGATGGACCTGCGTCGGAGCAGGGGTTAGCCGTGGCGGGGGCACAACCCACTGCTGTAGCGCTATCATCGCCAGCAGCGAGACCCTCCTGAGTGTGGATAAGACTTTGCGACAGTTCTGGGAAATTGAGCAAGTGACCAGCCCAGAACACCCCATGTCACCGGAAAACCTGGACGTCCTGACAGCGACAAAGAAACGAATGACGTTCACCAATGGTCGCTACTGTGTCGGGATGCCATGGCGGGCAGATGCATCACGGCCCACCAACAATTACGACATGGCAGCGAAGAGACTTGCGCAAACACAGAAGAGGCTGAAACGGGTCCCAGAAATTGCAGAGCGCTATGCAGAGACCATTGAGAGTTACGTGAGAAAAGGGTACGTGGTGAAGGTGAATGCAAACCCACGTGAAGCAGGATCGTGGCTCCTTCCACACTTCCCGGTTGTCCGACTGGACAAAAGTACGACGAAAGTTCGCATTGTGTTCGACGGGTCAGCTAAGCATGATGGCACCGCCCTCAACGACCTGCTGCACACCGGTCCGAAGTTACAACGTGATCTATCGGCTGTTCTGCTCAGGTTTCGGCGGCATCCGATCTGCATTGGCTGTGATGTTACGGAGATGTATCTACAGGTTGAAGTCAGAAAATCAGATCGGCCATATCTGAGATTCCTGTGGAATACAGACTCGCAGTCGGCTCCAGACGTGTACGAATTCAACCGGGTGGTATTCGGTCTGAACTGCTCCCCGTTCTTAGCGCAACTGGTCGCGCGAGAGCACGCTAAGACACTAGATCCAGAATTCGCCCGTGCAGCCGAGATGATGCTCGAATCAACTTACATGGACGACGGTATGGACTCAGTCTCTACGATTGCCGAGGGTGTGGCCCTGTACAAGAGTGTGACAGCAGCATTGAAGGGAGCAGGCATGGCAGTGAGGAAGTGGCTGTCGAATGCTCCGGAGCTGTTGGGTCACATACC